TGCGCATTAGGCCCTTAAGATCTTGTGGGTTCCATGGAGAAGGGAATCCTAATATAGACCCCAAAATGTCCTAATCCTGCTTATAGGCACCCCTAATTTCCAGAAACTCCCGAATCCCAAGGGGCCAGGTACTGTCCAGATCCATCTCGGCGTTTCTTCGCACCCAGCTCTGCAGACAAGTCCTGGAAGTGTGTGGGAATGATTTCCCAGATTTGAGCTGTAGTCTAAACTCCTAGAGGGGGGTTTTATACGGGATTGTATAGGGGAGTATGAAACGGGTTACTAGGATTTTAGACTGTAGCTCATGCCTGTAGCCCTGGAGATCTTGCGAAAGGTTGGGGCGCTCAAGATTTACGGCAAGCATGGTTAGTTACCAATTGAGGGTTATATAGGGTTTGGGGTTTAGTGCTTAAACTGCTTAAAGGAGGGTATATAGGGGACTATTGGGTTCCCCTTATAGGGCTTATTGAGGGGTTACTAGGAATTTAGACGAATACTGCGGGCCACGAGAAAAAGGAAACTCGAAGATCTGAGGCAATCTCACGCAGTCGTGGTGCCTAAACCCTAAGCCCTAAACCTTAAACATAAGCTCTGAGCCTTCCAGTGCGCAGTCCAGTTGAGGGACTTTCAATAATTACAACCTCGATTTGGGGCAAATGATGCCAGTTGCTATGTCATGGGCTTCTTGGGGTTTAGGGTTGAATAACCCTTAACCCTATACCCTAAAACCCTAAACCCTGGGATTTTTGCATAAGCTAACTGCCACCCGGCCTTCATGATTGAGGCTCTGCAAATCTTAAAGCTCCTCACCACGGTCACTTCCCCCTCCCGAGCTGTTCTTCAATGGTTTAGGGGTTTAGGGTTTAGGGTGTGCGGTCTAGGGTTCAGGTTTGGGGCTTAGGGTCTAGGGGTTTAGGGCAAAGAATCGAGGGCCTTAGGTTTCTCGTGGGCTGGGCTACAGACTGCTAACACTAATCTGTGCCAGAACGTACATGTCTTACCTGAGGGTTTACTTTGATTTGCTAGGAGTGAAGGAATAGATACTTATAGTAGTCCTTATACAACCCGCTATAGTTTTTCCATTTTCTTTTCCACTCCTTCATAACCAAAGGACAGACTACAGTATCCAGAACCTCCTATGTAGTTTCTTCTTGGGTCGCATGTTTTGACCCCTTGCCTAAAAACCCTGACATGAAGAAGGTGGCAGGAAGGAAGGCTCATTGGGAGCAGTGCTGTCCTGCAGTAGGCTTACGAAGTTCAGATTTCAAGTGGTAGTTGAGTAAAAACCTTGTTTCCAAAGTGCGCAGCATGGAAAGTAGTGTAACCTTGACTTTCCCTTATAGAACCACAGGAACCCTAAAAATTCCCATATAAAATCAACCCCAGCATGCCTTCCAGGTTGTCCTAAAACGTAAACCCTAAACCCTCAAAAACCACTCGCAGCCACCGAAACAGCGAGACCACGACAGAGTCTCCATGAACCCTACTCGGAGGTTAGGATTTAGGGTAGAGACTTAGAGCTCCATATAACTGGCTTCTAACCCTATAACCTGGTAGAGATTAACTGTAAATGTGGTTGTCACCCAGTCACCAGTGATTTTACAGCCCCATGAAACCCCAAGCGAACCCTAAACTCTAAACCCCAAACTGCAAAGCAAAAAACTAAACCCCGAAACCCTAAACTCCGTAAACCCTAAACCTCAGACCCTAACTGCTTAAATCCTTAACTTTAATCTTGAACCCTGAACCCCTAACCCTAAATGCCAGTCCTCTGCCCCCCAGGTGACAGCCTCCACTCGCGGATGCCGCGCAATCTCGTGGGCCCGTAAGGGTGCCTTGCCAGTAGGGTTTAGGGTTTAGGGTTTGGGGCTTAGGGTTTAGGGTTTGGGGCTTAGGGTTTAGGGTTTGGGGTTTAGGGTTTGGGGTTTAGGGTTTGGGGTTTAGAGTTTAGCGTTTAGTACTGTCCACAGGTTTTAGGGTCTAAGACAAAAAAACCTCAGGCCATGAGGGTCCAAATATCTCAATAGTAGGTTTAGGGTTTAGGGTTCAAGGTTTAGGGTTTAGGATGTACGGTTTAAGGTTCTAATCTGGGCCAAGATGGATTCGTATTCAAGTACGTTGGGCCCTTTCAGCTTGCTGGACCATTCTAGCGCTCAGGCGGGACCTGGGGAGCAGTGTCAAGGAACCTTACAGGAGTAGTGTTTTTTTGGTGGCTAAACCCAGTAAGATTATATTCCTTATATAGAATACTATACCCCAAAAGGAGGATAGAATCATACTTTATAATGGGTACCATAGTATCCCCAAATAAATTACTACTCACAGGAGGATCCATTAGCTCGGAAACTCGCGGTGGGGTTCAGGGCTTGAGGTTCAGGACTTAGGGGGGTGAGCTTTAAGGTTTAGAGGGTGGGGGTTTAGGGTGTAAGGTTTGGGGTTTAGGATGTATCGTCCCCCCTAAGTAGGTAGATGGCTTTGGGCATATTAAATTAAGATCCCCATATACCCCATATTCTGTCTACTTAAGGCAGACTGTTTGGGGGGGGACTATACGGGTTTGGGGTCTAGCCTAAACGTTCAACCTTCAGTCTCAAGTTCTCTTATGAAGACCAAACCTCACGGGGGAAGATCATCTTACATGGAGGTGGCCATAAATGGGGGGCCCCAATATAGACCCCA